TCAGGAACAAGTGCCCTGGTCTCATCGGTATCCGCAACACGACCTACGCTCTCAAGAACGATTTCGTCAGCACAGAGCCGATTCCCATTCCCCGTTTCCGAAACACCACCAACGAAGTAAACTGGAACGTTGCACTTTCAGAACCGCAAAGCACGAAAGACTTCTTGCTCGACCTCTGTGCTCGCCAGCGTGCACATGCGACTGCTGCGAAACAACCTGGCGGCAAAGAAGTCTGGGTTAGGATCGTCAAAGTGATTGAGACATTACATGAGTCCGGCCTCATTCCAGATTCTTCACCGTTCCACTTCTACCATGGCGACTTCAATGCACGCAATCTTCTTGCCTCTGTAACCTCGGAGTCAGAAATAGCGATCACTGGAATCGTAGGCTGGGATTCCGCGCTATTCGCGCCGGCTTTCATGAGCACGCGCGCCCCGTTTTTCCTATGGAGTGGCAATATGGGCAGCGAAGGCGAGGAAGGCGGTGCGTTGGTCGAACCGAAGGAGGCGGATTTGTTGGAGGCTAAGCGTGCTTTTGAAAGTCTTGTGGGCGACAGCTTTCTGAAGGAGGCTTACTCCCCAGCGCTGATTCTCGCGCGCCGGTTGTGGCGCTTTCTGGTCAGTGGTTTCACGAATGGTGCAGATATCTTTCTTGCGGAGGAGATTGTGGAGGAGTTCGAGAGGTTACATTCATCAGCGTAGGCTGGGTGTGGATGTGCAGTAGGGAGCTACCGTAACGTAGGGTCAGATTGTTCGCCGATGCGGTGGTAGCCGGCTAGAAAAACCCCAATTTCGTAGTTTAATAGTAACGCGTTGTGATTGTACTAGGTGTTGACTCGGCAGCAAAGACAAAGAGGCTTCCTTCTCTGCAACGAGGTCGCTATGCCATCGCTTCCACCCCATATACAGGCATTCAGATTGGTATACTTACCGTCAGTCGTCATCGCGCTCCTTGAGGACAGAAGTTCTGTGATCAAGATCATACGCGTCGTCGTATGTATCGAAGAAAGCCGGTTTTGACATACCTTGTAGTTGGTGGCCACAAGGTTGCCAGCCATTCGATACCCAGCCATCTGGACAATAGAGGTGCTGCATGTACTCATTCGCAATCTCTTCATTCGCTTTAGGCCATGCTTCAATAAAAGCTGGTAGAACTGTACACGTATAGTCAGTACGCGGAACGAGACATGCCAGTTGTGGGGTTGGCCTTACTATCTCCACAAGTGCGAACTTTGATGACAAAGTCAAAATGAATCCCGCATTGCCTGCACTGGATGGCATATTCGTGGAAGTTGAAGTGTGCGTCAATCTCCCTCTCTGAGACGTCATGATTCTCGCCCAGCACATACATTATGATGCCAAATTTCTGAAGACGAATGCTGCCACTCTGACATGCATCAAGTAGGCTTTGGACATGTGGATCGCATTGAGGTCGTTCATACCGCACGTCAAACACGCCTCGCCCGCCGCAAGAGTCCCAACCCTTGCTGAGTACGAGTGTTTCCAGACCCATTGGCAGAAGCTTGTCGAGACTTCGCTCTTCCGGCTTGTCGAGAGGACCTAGCGTGGGTCAGCAAGTTACAGATCAATGACGGGTATTGCATACTAATCAAGAGTTCAAACGGTACAGCAAGATACCGCAGACTGGCAAACTTTTGGAGTGTACCCAACCTCGTATCGCTGTATTCACGGCGTTCGCACAACTCCAGAGCTTGAAGTCCGGGTTGTAGCGTCTCCAACAAGGCCTTAGCCTCAGACCACTGCCACTGAGTATTGCCTGTGGCATGTGTTGACGACCCCCAAGAGAAGGATGTAAGTGCCTTGCATGAGCCAAGAAGATTTTCCAACAATTCAAGATCACACTCGAAGTTTTCCAGTCGTATTTTTTCGACCTTGGACCTCTTCGGGGGACATCCCCAGGAAAAAGGGGGATCGCTGAGACTGGATTCAAGATAATCGTGGTCTGACAGGACTACTTCCCGTAGAGAGTCTAGCCGAAGGACGGGCGCTAGCCAGTTGATGTGCAATCCTAGCATTCGGATACTCAGTCTTTTCAGCCTTGTGAACTGGTGCACACGACCATAAGGTATCCCTAGGCTTGCGGAGAAAATAGGTAATAACGCCGCCTGTGGCTGGCGCTGGACCCAACTCCCATTCTCTCCTTCGGCACGTGCTGCTCCTGGACAACAATTCAGGGCGACGGTCTCGATGTTGGGCGTGAGCCATAGGATCAAGGCTGACTCCAAAGCACTGAATGCGTCTTCACCTTTGCGTAAAAGTGTAGCATATTCTTCGTTAGGAATGCCGAGACTCTCAATCTTAGAGCAAATCATCTGTATGTCTTGAAAGCTGCGGATGCGAGAGCTCATGTGCTCGTCTCCGATAGATACCTGGCCAACCTCTTTCATCTCTTTTACCAACGCACCTAGCGCAGGGTTGGTGATCAGACTCCTGATGAATCGGGTTGATGGTTCGGTATCGTAGCAATGATCATACTTTCTATACATCATGGTTGTGGCGGCGCGGTTAAGAGAGCGGCATGTCAGAGCTACCGATGCATAGTCGAGAATCGGCCGTCGGGGCCGGATTGCGTCGCCTTCGAGGTCTGTCACTGTAAATTTACTCGTTGGGTGCACAATATCGGGTAGGTATTCCAGGATTCTCAGTAGTATCTCGTCCGGTAGTGCACTGATGTGATCTCCCTTGTTCGTCGATGCGTCCTTCGAAAGCGGGAGGGATTCTGACAGCCTAACGCCGCCTCTGGCAAGGCTCCTTGTGGTCGGCCGTTCGCGGTTCGTCGTCTTGACCATGATGATTGATGGGACTTTCGAAGTATGGGTCGTTGTAGAGACGTATGTGCCACGGTGCCTGGAGAGGATGGGATGGATCGCACGGAAGGTGGGCCCCGGCGGTCAAGCTCGCTCCGGCAGCCGGTTGCCGCTAAAATCAAATTTGACCCCACCCGGCTGCTCCGCCGACGCGTCAGTTTCGCGTTCGCCGCGACGCGCATCTTGGCGACACTTGATCACGACATTGACACTCAACAGTATATGCGAGACTCACTTTTCGACGCGATCAAATTGTCTGCACCTTAAATTTCCAATAAGAAAATAACACAGCTATTTGGCCAGCGCCACTGATGCATCGAGCCTCAAGTTCTCCTTAAGCAGCCACCGTCTGTACATGGAAAGGATAATCTGTGTACCCCTTTTGCGGCGGATCAGCGCCATAGAAGGTGTCGCGATCATACTGATTCAGCTCTAGGCCCTCAGCGAGGCGCTTCGGCAGATCCGGGTTCGCTATGAACCACCGACCAAATATGACGAGGTCAGCATCTCCGGACTCTACCTTCGGCGCGGCATTGTCTCTATTGAATCCACCAGCCGCAATGAACTTCACGCCACCCTTCTTTAAGATGTTTCGGAAGTTGACGAGCGTGTTGCCCTTGACCTTGACCGTCGCCTCCGCCTCCACGCCCTTGCCTCCTTGTGTGGTGTAAGCGGCCAGAGCGTCCATCTTGGCTTGCTCGTCGAGGACTTCATCGAAGCGCGGTTCGACCCTGGCTATCGTCAGCATCAGCCTGGGGGCCGAAGTGGTTCAACTCACATGTGGACATACGCCGGCCTCTCACCCTGCGGAAGCGACGCGATCTTCTCGCATAGGTACTCCCAGTGATCGTTGGGATTGCTGTCCTTGGTGTTCTGGAAATAGTTGTATGGGCTGAGACGGATGCCAACTCTGTCAGCACCGATGGCTTTGGAGCAGGCTTGGATGACTTCAAGCGGAAAGCGACTGCGTCCTTCGATTGACCCGCCATACTGATCCGTTCTCTTGTTAACATTGTCGTGTAGGAACTGATCGAGCAAGTATCCATTCGCGCCGTGAATCTCGATACCGTCGAAACCGGCCCCAACCGCCTTCTTCGCGGCTTCTGCCCAGGTCTTTGTCAACCCTTCAATTTCTTCAACAGTCAATGGCTTAGGTGGATGATCGGCGCACGCGACACCGTCAAGCCAACTACCCTCCATGGGCACGTCGCTCGAGCTGACCGTTGGCGCTCCGGCCCGGAAGGACGGTGGACTAGCACGTCCAGTATGCCACAGCTGGCAGAAGATGTACCCGCCTTTTGCGTGGACAGCATCGGTGACCTTCTTCCAGCCGGCGATTTGGGAGTCCGAGAATACACCCGGTACACCTGGATATCCGCTGGCCTAGTACAAGTCAGCGCGTTTGCTTCGACTGGTCGCGCACTACCCACGTATTTGGCAATGTCAGTAGCCTCTGTCAATTGCAATCCACCTTTGCTTGCGCGTTGGCTGTAGTACTCAACGTGTAGCTCTTTCGGCACGAATACTCCATCTCCCTCTTTGGTTGCTCGCATGCGTGTCAATGGTGCCTGCACTATTCTGTGCTCGAGATACAGAGGGCCGAGTTTGAACGGCGAGAAAAGCGCAGTCTCTTTGAGTGGCTTGAAGCCTGTCGGGCTATCTGCTTTCGGCATATTTGTTGGTATCGCACTTGCACTGATGACTGAGAAAAGGAGAGAATGAAGTCGTTGCTGCCACAAAAGATTTGTAACAGCTACATGGCTGCTGCTCAGGGTCTCCTATGTACCTGGCGCTAGTGCCAGAAACGGTGGTCGCCATCGTCGCAGATCCCATGTTAGGGAGTGGTGTTTGCAGATACAGAAATGGGGGAGGGGCAGATGCAGCAAAGCGTATGACGAGGCTGATGTTTGCGGAGTACGAACGAACCGCCATCTGTACGACGCTGCTGCGCTGTGGTCCAAGAGTGGGGTACTGTGGGCCCGGCCATCGGAAAGGCGAAATCGTCTATCATCGGAACAGTCGTCTCGCGCAAACAGGCCAATCAGCGATCGCATTACGTGAGAAGGGTGTGAATACTGCGGAAACGGATGTTGGGTGAGGATATTATGAAGAGAACATCGCATTCTCTATCTCTTCGGCCTCATTACCTGTCTGCTTAGGTTTGACACCCGTCATGTCTCTGCCGATTCCGCCGAAAAGCAGTGCAGATCCGCCGCGGGGCCTTTCCGCTACCGAAGCCCTCACACCTCTCATCGAGACGACATTCAGAACACCAGACATAACAACGTGGATCAACGGAAGGAAAACAATCATCACTAACCCAAACCCGCACTGGACTCTGCTAGACTACATCCGCGCTCAGCCGAACCTCAAAGGCACGAAGCTGGGATGTGGCGAGGGTGGATGTGGTGCATGCACCGTTGTTCTGCAGGTTGCAGATTGGCAGTCTGAAAAGAAGAGAATCAAGCATTTATCGGTGAATGCGTGCCTATTCCCTCTGGTCGGTATCGACGGCAAACATGTCATCACCGTGGAAGGCATCGGTAATGTTGGCAGACCGCATCCTCTGCAAGAGAGGATCGCGAAGTTGCACGGCAGCCAATGTGGCTTCTGTAAGTCAACGAGGCTTTGTTTCCTACACTGAAACTGACTATCTCCATAGGTACGCCTGGTATCGTGATGAGTTTGTACGCAGTGGTGCGCAACGCATACGACCCGGAGACGAAGAAGTTCCATCTCAGCGCACGAGAGATCGAGATGGAAGGTCACTTGGACGGCAACTTGTGCCGCTGTACAGGTTACAAGCCGATACTTCAAGCTGCAAAGACATTCGTCACCGAGGATCTGAAAGGTCAATTAGCAGAAGAAGACGAGCCAACGACTGCCGACGCCGAGAACTTTGAGAAAGATGTCATTGATCTGACTCGCAATGGCTGTGCAGGTCCTTCCAAGGTCTCCTGCGGGCGACCGGGTGGCTGCTGTAGGGATAGCCCGTCCGACAGCAGCTCAACAGACACCAAGTCAGATACCTCGTCACCTCCAACGGAGCCAACATCGGCGTCAGAAGACGAGCACATCACTGCCGTTCTGGATGCAAAAGAACAGCCGCAACCGGATCCCGAGATTAGCGGCGCTGACTACGCGAAACCGCTAAAGAGTAAAGAGCATGGTGCGGCTGCCGAATCCAAGACTGTCACATCCACTATCGAGGCACCGGCGGCCGCTTCAGAGAAGGGTGTCCCCAAGATCGAGTTCTCTGAATACGTTCCGGACACCGAGCTCATTTTCCCTCCTGCATTATGGAAGTACGAGCCGCAGCCACTGTGCTACGGTAACGATAAGAAGATCTGGTTTCGTCCTACAAAGCTCGAGCAACTTGTGTATTTGAAAGACGCATACCCCTCAGCCAAGCTCATCGGCGGTGCCAGTGAAGTTCAAGTGGAGGTTCGCTTCAAAAACTCCGACTTTGCTGTCTCCGTCTACATTTCAGATATACCAGAATTGAAGCAAACGCGGATGCCAAAACATGCTGAGCTTGAGACAGCCAAGGAACTCGTCGTTGCAGCGAACACTCCGCTCACTGAGCTTGAGGAGATTTGTAAAAAGGTTTGCACAATGCTCGGAAAGCGTGCGATGGTGCTAGAGGCCCTTCGCAAACAATTGCGATATTTCGCGGGTCGTCAGATTCGTAACGTTGCATCATTAGCTGGCAACATTGCAACAGCATCGCCAATCTCAGACGCCAACCCTGTGCTGCTTGCGGCTGGTGCTACCTTGGAAGCTGTAAACAAGAAAGATGGCAGCGTCGATCTCCCGATGTCAAGTTTCTTCATCGCCTACAGAACCACATCACTCCCGCCTGATGCAACGCTACATCGAATTCGAATCCCTTTGCCTCCGAAAGGATCACGAGAGGTTCTCAAGGCTTACAAGCAAGCCAAGCGCAAAGACGACGACATCGCAATCGTCACGGCTGCATTCCGAGTGCGTCTAAATCCTGACGGCCTAGTGGTGGATGCTTCGATTGTATACGGCGGCATGGCGCCTATGACGAAAGAGTCACCCAAAACCCAGACTACCCTCTTGGGTAAGCCCTGGTTTCATTCGGAAACTCTTGATGCGGCTCTCACGGCGTTGTTACAGGATTACGATCTTCCATACGGTGTTCCAGGTGGCATGGCAGACTACCGGAAAACGCTTACCCTGTCACTTTTCTTTCGGTTCTGGCACGAGTCTGCTGCTGAGTTTGGTCTTGGCAACGTTGACGAGCAGGTGATTGATGAGATTCACCGGGAGATCTCCAGTGGTGCTCGCGATGATTACAATCCCTACGAGCAGCGCGTAGTAGGTAAGCAGGTGGCGCATCTATCTGCTTTGAAACAGTGCACTGGCGAGGCGGAGTACATCGACGATATGCCACGATTAGATCGTGAGCTATTCGGTGGACTCGTCATGTCGACAAAGGCCCACGCCAAAATCCTGAACATCGATTGGGAGCGAGCGCTTGAGCTGCCTGGTGTTGTTGGCTACATCGATCGACACAGCATACCCGCGGATGTCAACATCTGGGGCTCGATCAAGAAGGATGAAGCGTTCTTTGCTGAAGACAAGGTTCTCTATCACGGTCAGGTCATTGGCATGATTTACGCAGAGTCGGCTTTGGAAGCCCAAGCGGCCGCGCGGGCTGTGAAGGTCGAGTACGAAGAACTACCTCCTATTCTCACCATCGACGAAGCTATCGCGGCCCAAAGCTACTTTCCGCATGGGAAGAATCTGAGGAAAGGTCTTGCAATCGATGACAAGATGGGTGAAGCCTTCGCCCAATGCGACAAGATATTCGAAGGTGTAAGCCGGCTAGGCGGGCAGGAGCACTTCTACCTCGAGACGAATGCAGCGCTCTCCATACCTTCCGGAGAAGACGGGGCTATGGAGGTCTGGTCGTCGACACAGAACACCATGGAAACTCAAGAGTTTGTTAGCTCGGTCTTGGGTGTGCCAAGCAACCGGGTCAATGCCCGCGTGAAGCGCATGGGAGGCGGTTTCGGTGGCAAGGAGTCTCGCAGCGTGCCGTTCGCCGTATACACAGCAATAGCTGCTAGGAAGGAAAAGCGGCCAGTGCGCATCATGCTGAACCGCGATGAAGACATGCTGCTCAGCGGCCAGAGACATCCTTTCCAAGCTCGTTGGAAGGTCGGTGTGTCGAAAGAAGGCAAGCTCGTCGCGCTTGAAGCTGACGTCTACAACAACGCTGGTTTCTCTCAAGACATGAGTGGGGCAGTCATGGATCGATGTCTGACGCACTTTGACAACTCATACGAGTGTCCAAATGTGTTCCTGTGTGGCCACGTGTGCAGGACCAACATCCACAGCAACACGGCATACCGAGGTTTTGGAGCGCCACAAGGCATGTACTTTTCTGAAACTGTCATGTATAACATTGCTGAAGGTCTGGGCATGGATGTGGACGAAATACGATTGCAGAATCTGTACAAGCCTGGAGAACACACCCCATTTTTCCAAAAGATCGACGAGGATTGGCACGTTCCTATGCTTTTGCACCAGCTGAGCAAGTCTGCCGACTACGAGAATCGAAAAGCTGCTATCAAAGACTTCAACTCAAAGAACCGATGGAGAAAGCGAGGTATTTGCCTCGTTCCTTCAAAGTTTGGTCTTAGCTTTGCGACAGCTCTACATCTCAATCAAGCTGGCGCTTACATCAAGATCTACCATGATGGCAGTGTACTCTTGCATCATGGAGGAACAGAGATGGGTCAAGGTCTCTACACCAAGATGTGTCAGATAGCCGCGCAAGAGCTTGGCACTCCGCTCGACGCCATCTATACCCAAGATAGTCAGACCTACCAGATTGCGAACGCATCGCCTACCGCTGCATCATCCGGATCAGACTTGAACGGCATGGCTGTCAAGAATGCATGCGATCAGATCAACGAACGATTGAAACCATATCGCGAGAAGTTGGGAAAAGATGCGCCACTGAAAGCGCTCGCCCATGCTGCTTATGTCGATCGTGTCAACCTCGCAGCGAATGGCTTTTGGAAGATGCCAAAGGTCGGGTATACGTGGGGCGATACAAATTTGGACACCGTCAAGCCTATGTACTACTACTGGACCCAAGGAGCGTGCTGCTCCGAAGTCGAACTTGACCTACTCACTGGCGACCACACCGTGCTACGAGCAGATATCATGATGGTAAGCGCGCATGCCGATGCATTCATTTCAACATGCTAACAACACTGCAGGACGTTGGCAACTCTATCAACCCAGCCATAGACTACGGACAGATTGAAGGCGCGTTTATCCAAGGCCAAGGTCTCTTCACCATCGAAGAAACACTCTGGACTCGAAACGGCCAGCTCTTCACTCGGGGTCCCGGAACATACAAGATCCCCGGCTTCAGCGACATTCCGCAGGTCTTCAACGCCAGTATGCTTCGCCACGATAACGACGGCAACCCGCTGTCGTGGAACCACTTGAGGAGTGTTCAAAGTTCCAAGGGTATTGGTGAGCCACCGCTCTTCTTGGGATCAACGGTCTTCTTCGCGCTGAGAGAGGCGGTGTTGGCGGCGAGAAAGATGAACGGGAAGAACGACGAGGGGTGGAATTTGGATAGTCCGGCAACCTGTGAGAGGCTCAGGTTGGCGGTTGGAGATGACCTTGTTGACCGGGCAAGAACGGTAAAGAAAGAGGGTGAGACGAATTTCTTGGTTGCTGTAGCGTGATCATGGGTATGGGAACACGCGTTCACCATTCCATGTATTATTTCATTCAATACAGGTGTCCATTCATACACGGCGCCTCTCTTGCGCATTGCTTTTGCGAGGTTTGACGCGTCCCGCACGCGTGCTACTCTTTGCTTGGCAAGAACATAAGTTGATGCTATCGCCCGTTTCAACACCTCCTACAGCGAATACATTGCTTCTCTTACGATAGCCTTCATTACAACCCCGTCGGATGAGAAATGCCTATCGCGCATCTTATCGGAAAGCGAAGCCGGTAGCGATGACCTCAGCGGTGGCATGACTAATGGTCGCGCGGCAGTGTGTCAAGGAAGTCGCGTCGGGCCATGATAGAGCAGCTACCCAACACCAACCGCATCCCTTGCATCAATGCAGCTTGCCTGAACAGGCTCCTAGAATCCCCGTGCCTTCCAATATGACAGCAGCTCCACATGAGGCCACCATGGTCTATCTCCATGCGAACCACGCGCGGCGGAGATAACCGCAAATTCTCCGCGCCTTGCTGCTGACGCGCCCGACAATCGAGCAGCATCGTCAACCACAGCCTACGTGCCTGCTGCTGTTTGCCAGGCCGACACACGGAAACCAAGATGCAATGAACACGCTTGACAATGGATGTTGATGGCGTTGGGAAACCTCACCCCCACTCTTGGAAATGCGTTCCCAAAGCTACGCCACCACGCGCAACCCCGCCCACTAGCGGCACGACTCAACTCCACACTCGGCCGCGATAGTCGGACTTCTCGACCCCGATAAGCATGGCCTCTATCCGACGCGATATCGTATAGCATTCCGTGAAGCGGGTTCTTGAGCCTCTCTTCACCCCATTTCATCTCCAGTGCCCCCATCCTTTGATCAGATCATCGAAATAATCTCTCAGATTCTGCGCTATGGCATCCACTACTGTCGACAGTGCGAGCTCAGGGACCCGCGGGCGCAAGAGAAGGAACTTGAGCAAGAATGAAGGGAAGAAGTTTGTCTGCACGAATGACGGGTGTGGGCGGTCTTTCACTAGAGCCGAGCATTTGCAAAGGCATTTGCTGAATCATTCGACGGGAGAATACACGTGTGATCGATGCAGGGCTCACTTTAAGCGGAGGGATCTTCTTGGTAAGAATGATGCACTCTTTGCTTGGCTTCGAGAATGCATGGCTGTTTCTTGCCCATGAGCTGCTCTTCGCCGAGACGCACGGAACTACATGCCCTCAAGATGCCGCGCTCCTTTCGTGCTACAAGACGAAAGAGCTTTCCATGAAACACAGCATCTAGACTCTTGTTTGTTGGTTCTCGCATCTGATGTGTAGCATCACATCGTTGCTCTAGTATTGATCGTGGTCACTAACCCATTTGCGCAGAAAGGCATATCAGTCGCCATCGGCAAAAAGACGAAGAAGCCGGCGCTGAGGGTTGTGGAGTACTCAATACCCGAAAGCGAATGTGGAAAGATGCCGAAGGCAAGATAGTCACGAAGAAGCCCAATTTATCTAAAGACGGTCAGAGAACCGGGTCGCTGTCGCTATCGCAAACCGAGGACCTCTTGCAGTCGATGCCAGACTTCGCGGAGTTCGCAACACATCAAGGCCTTCCTATATCACCACCGACATCGAATGGGCCATCCCTACCCCATTCGTTGGACGATAGAGACTCCGGCATAGGAATCAACTACCCCCAAACAAATCTCGATCCGAATAGCATTCCTTCATCTAGTTCATACTCGCCCACAGATCAACGCTTCTGGTCCGCCAATAACACGCAGTCATCAGCCGAGCCATTTACCTCTGCGATTTACGACAATGCGCCATTTGACGAGATATTCAATCCAGACACAGCAAGTTCTTTCAATGCGCCTTTTACGACCATGAGTAATTACAATTGGCTCTTTGATATGGACTGGACGAGAAACGATCAGGCTCAACAATCGATCATAGAAGACCCATTCCCTGCCCTACCCTTCGAGGATAATGCGGTGTCTCAATCGATCCAGAATTTAGATTTTCAATTGGAACAGGTGGACATGGAGGGGCCGCTATCGACGGTCGGCCAGTTTGGCTCACTTCCGTCCCAGCCAAATGAGTCTCTTCACCACCAGCACCATCACTCACCGATTGCACAATTAATCACGCCGCCGATTGATGACGCAAGCAGAAAAGCTGGTCCGCCATCAAATAATGAGCCCTCCGTACCCGCGACAGACAACAATGCTTCCATCGACGTTGAGCGACCACTGTCTTTGCTGCAACCATCGCGAAGCCTGCCGATCATTGATGAACTAGCTCGTCAGCAGCTACTCGATCTCATTGACATTGTACAGCCTACTGTACCAGACGGCAGTATAGTCATGCGAGACCACCCGCTGCTCTCGTTATCATGCTTGCAAACCTACTGCGATCTGTTCTTCACGCGTTTCAACACCACATATCCGTTGATACACATGTCTACTTTTGACCCATCAGAAGTCGACACACTTCTCCTTGTATCAGTCTTGCTGTTAGGCGCAACGTATGGAGAGAAAGACGCACACCAGCTCGCAGTAAGTGAACTCGCAATATAGTCTTCAAGCTTCGACTGACTCGAACTAGGTATGCATCCACGACGTGCTGCGGCCACAGATCTTTGCCAATGCCGGCTTTTCAGCGAAGCCAGATCTCTGGGTCCTTCAAACTATCCTATTGGTCGAGTGTTTCGGTAAAAGCAGAGCTGGACAAAAGCAACACGACATGTCGCATCTCTTCCACGGCTTACTCATCAACCTCATTCGGCGGAGCGATTGCCAAAGTATCCGGCCACCAACACCGGAAGAAGCCACGGATGATCTTGAAGATGACTGGCGGACATGGTGCGAAGCAGAGCAAAAGAAGAGGTATGTATTCATCAACTGAACCCTCACGGCACCTAGCTCAAAGTGCGCAGGCTGGCGTTCCTATGCTTCATGTGGGATACGCAACACGCAGTGCTTTTTTGCCAGTCGCTCTGCATGTCCGCTTTTGAACTCCGTTCCAACATGCCATGCGATCAGTCCATCTGGGAGGCCGACTCAGCCGAGACATGGCATCAGTTGCGACAGAAGCAGCCAACGACCCCATTGTTCCTATCGTGTCTGAAGATGTATCTTCACCCCGATGCTGCGACTATCCCCAAGAACCTGAATGCGTTGTCGCGGTCGTTGCTTCTACATGGCCTAATGTCTGTAGCATGGGATATGCAACGGCGCGACCAGACGTCGCTGGGCGTCATTGAGTCAAACCCACTCGGCAATTGGCAAGCTCGTCTCGCGGCCTCATATTCCGCGTGGCACGCAGACTACACTGCTTTCTGCGCCGCATACCTTTCGTCGCTTCCATCATCCACACCCTTCCTCGCTAGAGAGTTCCACGTCTGCCGCACCGCCACACTAGCGCTTTACCACTCCGCGCACATTCTCCTTCATACACCCTTCCTGGACCTCCAAATCTACGCTGGCTCACGGCATATCCTTGGCCGCCCAGTCGCGCGCCATGACTACGCACGCTCTCAGCGTGTAATCAAGAAATGGGTAGCAGAGAACACAGAAGAAGCCGGGAAAGCAGTCTGGCACGCCGCCGCTCTCGTCAGCGAAGGCGTGGAAGTTCTTGACGGCGACCTGAGCTGTTCAGACATTAGTGGAGGGAGACTTTGGCACCACCCTTGGGCCGTGTACCTTGGTACGTTGGTGGTATGGGGCGTATGGTATGCTCGGCCAACTCCACCACCACCGTCTGGAGATCAATTACCGCATCATCTTCAGCATCTAGACGACGAGGATGAGATCATCTGGGATCCTGCTGCGGAAATGAAGATATTGCTTGGCGCTATTCTCGTAGCTCAACCTGAGAAGCTGCTTGAAACTGGCAGTGAAGGCGTTTTCGCTGGCGGTATGGGGAAGAGGGGGACGAATGGGCTTGCAGCCGTCGTGAGCAGGTGTTTGAGTAAGGTGCGGTGGGCTGTCGTGCATGATGGTATGATGGTTCTTAGAGGGCTTGTACAGTGGCGTTTAGTTGGCGGTAGTGGTGGCCTATGAAATGCCAAGATCGAGAAATTCAATCGCGACATCTATCTCTTCGGCACCTAGTCGCTTCCTTCTCCCCGTGTAATCCCAAGCCATCTATGACGGTGACCAAGAGTCCTCGCAGGCTTCTTATATGGCCACTGTCTGTCCACCTTTGCTGGTCTGGCCGGTCTGTCATCGTTGGCGGTCGAGGATGGGGTTGAAGTACCCGAAACAGTGATGGACGTGCGCATGTTCCCTGCGTGTTTGGTGACCTCGGCAGTCGATTCAGTTGTCGGGCTATCGTGCGTGGTTGCGTATTCTTCATAGAGTGTTTTCACCAACCTAGCAGCCCAGGACGAGTCACCTAACCCCAAGCGATATCGAATGGACGAACCGAGCGCAAAGGCCTTTAGCTCGCTAGCCAAGTTCAGCTCAAACTGAACGTACTCTGCTCTGGCGGCGGCCTTTGACTGCTGGTGTATGCGCTCGATACGTGATTTCTCTGCCCGATACCGCTTCGTGTGGGTTGATGTACAGGAGTGATACAATCGAGTTTTCGCAATCTTGAGCTGCTTGTTTGCGGCCGAATATCTCTGGGCGGCCAACTGTCTCGGGCCAGCGCATTCATCTAAATACCTCTTGCCATATACTGTTAGTAGATCTCTGTACTTTTGCGTCAGAATGACGAGGGAGCTATCTTCGACAAGCCAAGCAATGCTCTGAGCATCAGCAAGCAACTCCTCAAGACGGTCCAGATTCACCTCCGTGAACTCGTGTGCATACGCATTGCGGATGAAGCGAAGAGATTCAAGCCTTCTCTGGATGATCTTATAGAGGTGGCGCCAATGTTCGTCCTCGTCCAGGAGCTTTTCAAAGTCCTTGATAGATAAACCTTCGGGGTCATTCAAGTTCTTCTCTTGCATTACATCGGGAAACTGACGTCGGCCAAATACGAAAATTGCTCGTTTGAACCGTTCGTGAACATCACCCAGAATGTGGTATTGGACTTGGTACGGCACCATGACCATGACGGGTTTCGAAGCTCCACGGGTCTGAGTGGACTCCGGACTAGAGCCCAACTGCTGACCTGTCGTGTCTGTCTCTGGCTCGATTGACAATACAGACCTTTTTTCTGCACGGAGTCTCTCAAGATAGTCGCCGGAAAAGAGCAGCTTAAGGCTAGTAACCTTGTTTTGCTTTTCAAGGATATGTTCTGACATCCCATCAAGCTTTGTGGTTGGCTTCAGGTATTCCAGTGTTTCATTGTAGGACGAACTCTGAGCTGCGCGCCAACGCTCCATCTGTTTGATCTCCTGTTGTAGAGTAGAGTGAGAGACTCTTGTGAACGGATTAAAGGGCCGCCCCAAGGTCGCAGTATCGATGGATGCATGCCCCAGTATTCGAAGCTGTCGGTACGATCGGTCGATGTGGTGCAGGAGTGCAGAAATCTCGCGTTGCTGAAGGCTCTTTGCTGAGCCCCTAGTTTCGTATTCTCGTACCTTCGCCAACAGTATCGCGGTCGTTTCACGAAAGAGCCTTGTTTGCTCATCCCGCGGTAGCCTTGGGGCAACGCGCGTAAACCAACCTTTTGCCATGTACTCATCATTGGCAAGCGACCTCTCTACGAAATCCGTGAAAGATTTTCGGGGCTCCGCCTTCTCCCCCTCTGGATCCGTGCCAGGAGTCTCGTCACTTGCTTTGATCTGCTTCTCAAATTCAACAATATGATCTTTGTGCTTACACAAGAGCCGGAGTCGGCGCCTTAAGCGATCCCGTGGTGCCTTTTGTCCTGGCACTGTGCGTTTGTACATTGATCTCGTCAGTATGATATGAGGCCGCAAAAGCTCCAACAATGCAAGAGCCGCTGCTCTCTTATCAGAGGGTGTGGGCAAGAGTTTAACGTAATGCATCCATGGCATCGTGATCGGGAAGCTTCTGTCGTCATCGATCGCAGCGCTAATCGATTGAATTGCAGCTTCATGCCGTGCTTTGGCCTCTGATGTCACTTCGTGTACAACATCTGCATCGTGCTTCGTACTTGTATCCAGGACTGCCCCGTCGCCCATTGATGGGTCGTGTTGCTGGGTGGCACGCGTCTCTTCCTCATCATCTCGCTTCTGCAACCCTTGCGACGACCACCTTGACGACGAGAATTGTATGCCTGCTGGCCTGAGCGAAACTAGGGCCTTGCTGTTCCAGCTTTGTCCGAGCGATGACGTTGCTGTACTTCGTGACGCAAGCCATGCTCGGCAACTTGCGTGCGAACCGAGTGCAAGACTGCGCCAGAGAGTGTCAAAATGCATCAATGATAAGAAAATTGCGATGAATCAGCGGAAGGAATGCGTAGAGGGGATGACAACGCGACGACAGTTGGGGCTGCTATCTCGAAGGAAAATGTGAACCAAAGAAGGCCGTGCGTGCTAGTGGCTGCGCTTACCGCATTGGGCGGTGTCTACGCCATTGCTCGAGGGCGGAACGCAGCAATCCAAGTGGTAACTCTTGCGTAGAACTGAGGTTGCATTCATATATACATTTGATCCGCACAAAGCCACTCGATCCGCTGACATGAAAGAATGCAGCACTGCCTAAGTGAAGTATCTCCACATCTCACTCTCTTCTCCATCGCCCAACTCGCTAGTTCTAACATCATCCGCCCTCAGTCTGACACCTTGCACCTTGTCTCTCCGTCGATTCTCCAGCTTCATCCACCCTCCCAGCCACAGTGTGAAGCAGATACACGTAACATTACAAGCTGCAGTTGCATAAAGCGTCGGCAGATACTTTGGCGCGTACTCCTGTCTGAAGGTCGCAGCGGAGACGATGCCTCCAAGGTTGCCTAGTCCGACCATGAGGCCGGTCGTAGCAGCGCGAGCGTTCTCATTGAGATTGTTGTTGTTGTGCCAAGAGTGTACGAGACAGGAAGGTACGTACGCGCCTGCACATAACAAAAAGCAAGCGAAATATGCGACGGCTTTGTTGTTGAGAACGTCGATGGTTGCGAGAACGATGAGTCCGGCGAGAGAAATGCAAAGAGCGCCGCAGATGTGGAACGTGCGTTCGCGGAAGAAGTCGCTGCTGTACGTTATGCAGAGCAAGACGACAAATCCCACCGCATTTGGCGCTACGGTCCAGAGATTGGTCTTGATGACGGAGAATCCGAGGCGTTGGACGATCTGAGGCAGAAAGTTCGAGGTCGTGCTGAAAGCTACAGGGTAGGTGAAGGCGATGATGCACCAAGGAAGCATCTTCCACGTGTTCCACTCCTTGAAACACTCTCGCATGTTAAACTCGTGGGAGCCGGATGAGGATAGATCGCGCAGTGTACGACGCTCGGCTACGTTGCGTTCAGCCTCGTTCAAGAACCACGCCGATTGGGGAGTCGCTGGTAACCAGGCATACGCTATCAAAGCAAGGACCACAGTAAGAGCGCCCTCTATGATGAAGAGAAATTTCCAGCCGGGAATGTTGGTATGCTCGATCTGAAAGACGCCGAAGGAAATGAGTCCGCTGAAAGCACCGGCAAGAAGTGCACTGCCAAAGAATAGTGCGATGCGGAAGCCGAGTTCGCCGCGCGTGTAGAAGAGCGTGAGGTAGAAGACGACGCCAGCGAAGAACCCGGCCTCGAAAGCACCGAGGAGGAGGCGAATGACGAGCATGCCTGCGAAGTTGTGTGCTGCGCATTGGAAGAGAGCCATCGCGCCCCACCCTACCATCACTGTGGTTTATCGTCAGCTCATGTTGCGTGATCTGAGAAGACGGACTTACAAGTCGGAAGCATAACTCTGCCACTCCATTTCTTCGTCAACATGTTCAGTGGAAGATCGCACAATCCGTTCGGTATGTAAAATAGCAAGATCAACAAGCTATACTGTTCGCCGGTAAAACCAAGGTCCTTGTCCATTCTATCTGTCTTCGCATTACCCAGATTCGATCGGTCAACGCTTGTGTCGGGTCAGTCTGCCATAAGGTCAGGATACAAGGGAGATGAACCCACCTGTTGAAGAAGTACATCAGCGAGAGGAATGGCAACAGATAGAAGTCGAGCTTTCGGACTGCATGATCTATGAATATGTGGTCATTGTTTGGTAATGACAAGTCAGAACGTACCATAGGCGCTCTCGATATTCTTATCGAAAGTGTCAATGACTATACCAGCTTCTTCTTTTGAGGTGCTGGATCCGGATAGCCTCCGACCTTTTTCTTCGATCATGGTGACGTCCTTCTGCTGCTCGACTGGCATGGCAAGGTGCGCACCGAAGCAAGGGTAGACCTGAGAAGGTCGTTAATACTAGAGGATATGCTGGCTGGCTGTTGTGCCGGTATTTGCTCAGTAAAGTGCGATGGCTTTAAGTAGCATCCTGTCATGTAACGTCTGAGCTGTTACTCATGCATGTACAACGCCACTGAGCCTCCCATCTTTGAACCCAGTTCACGTGCGTCTATCTTGCCTATCGCCACCGAACAGATCAGCACTGTAGCGCATAGATGGTGTGAACCAAGCGTGCAGCACATTGGGGGCCGAAGGATCGCGCTGCACACGACCTTTATTGATAAAGCGGAAGTCTCAAAGAGGAAATGTTGATAAGAGTGGGGGGAGGGACACATGCAGAAGACTGACTAGGTGCAGCGGACATGTGCTGGAGATAGGCGTACGTCTGGCTAATGCCAAGCCCGCAAGAGAAGGGCTTACCAAAGTTGTATACGAGTGGCCATGGACGAGAGCTTTGTTACCATGATGGTAGGAAACAGCGGTAATCATAGTCATGAATCTATCTCTGCCAGGTTGATACCGTGAATATCCCCCAAACTCCAAAGCCATGCACTGGAATCTCGAACTGTCGAGATGACCCAAAAATGTCTGCTTCTACGTATCTCGCAGGAACTGCTCGTAGTATTCGTCCATCCATTGTACAGCAGCCATCCCGTTCTCCCTGGTGCCGTCGGCAAATCTCCGCACTGTTCCAACATAACCATCTGGACGTACGTTGACAACAACGACTTCCTTCTCGTCAAGACCATCCAGCCACTTGTCCATGCATGTCTGTTTCCGAGTGTCCTTGTCTGGAACATCGTCGAGGTATAATGTGAAGGCCGACTCGCGAAGTACGGCTGGTAGGTCTCGAATTTCGAAGTTGTTGCGATCCTCGTCGGTCACTAAGGCATACGTGAAGACACCACTGACGGGAGTGTATCGCTCGGGCAAGACAAACTGGTCGTGGGGTGCGGCGAGAGGTGGCTGCATGGTGTATGAGGCATTGCCAGCAGCTGTTACACGGCCGACGTATGAGTTGTTTCCTATGTGTGAATGGCACACGTTCTCTAAGAAGGGCATGGACGCAGGAACATTATGGGTGAAGAAGTAGATGCGGAATTGACCGAGAGCGGGTATGTCGGTCTGGATGTCGACCGGATTGGCATCGATGTAGCGTGTGACCTTCGCAGGTGGCAGCAGGTAGCCCGGCTTCAAATGCCCTTTATTGTAACCCTTCGCTTGCACGTTGAGAGTATTGAGGTCGTAGCTGACACCGTAGCCAGAGATGAACGCGACGTTCTTCGCGAAGTTTGCCGCAAGCGCTACCGGGTCTCCGTCGTGGAAAGCATTGGCGTGCTCGTAGTCGAAGTCGATCAGATCTTTGGCAATCTTCTGTCGTTCCTGCTCGTACGTTTCGAGAAGAGCAGGCTTCGCAAGGCCGCGCGTCGCGAAGTTGAGTTTCCAGGCCAAGTTCCACGCATCCTACAGAGAAAGAAAAGTCAGTGCATGTTTTACGTTCATTTCGTCCAGTAGGCACTTACATGCATCCCTGTGTTCATGCCCTGCGCCGCCTTGGGAGAATGAGTGTGACTAGCATCGCCAGCAATAAACACTCGTTGCTCGTGGTCAGTGAAACGCGCTGCGACTCGCTGTCCGATCTTGTAGCGTCCAAACCACTCAACAGTCTTCCACTCGAGTCGATATGGGCGTAGTATAGCCCGCGCCCGCTTTTGAACAAACTCTTGTGTAGTCTGCTGGGCTCCCACTGCCTCCGTCGAATCCGGCCGCAGTTCAATGTATAGACGGGTTAGACCTCTTTCGCGAGGGATCATCAAGACAGATCCTAGAGCGTCTGACTGTATGACCACCTTGCTCCAGATATCAGGGAAGTCGGTTTCGAGGACACCATCGAGCACGCCCCAGACGGCATCGGTTGATGAGCCCACAGGTGTCGCTCCAGGTATGCAATGGCGCACTTTTGAGTGAGCTCCGTCGCAGCCGACCACGTACCGTGTGGCGAAGGTCTTCTTGGTGTGACTGACGTCTTGCTGACAGTTGACCGTCAGTGGACGGATAGACACGGGTGTGTAGTCAAAGTCGACGAAAGCCGTGTTCCTGGAAACGACGACACCCCTTTCCCGTAGGTCGTCTTCCAAGACGCCTTCGACCATGCCCTGGTGTACCAGCAAGATGTATGGATCGAGTAAGTCGACTACCGGTGGGTAGTGAATCTCCCGACCAGTGCGGTGAAGCGACTTGTCGGCCGTCGACTTCCAGAAAGCGATGTCATAGATCTTGACACCCTGTCGCAGTAACGGCTCGGCAAGGCGCATCTGTCGCAAAGTCTCGATCGTCTTTGGTTGGATTCCGTCGGCGCGTCCGGTCGAGGTGCGGTCGGGTCGGTCGTCGATGATGCGCGTCTTGATGCCATATCGTACCAGGTTGTCGCTGTCACTGTTAGATGGTGTTTGCTCAACTGGCCTGCATTACCTACGCAAGCATCAGACCGGCTGGTCCTGCACCAACTACCATAACATCGCTCATGAAGCTTGAGTAGTCATCGTCTCTGGTATACGAGATTTGCGACGCAACCTCCAAGCTGTTGCCCGACGAACGAGACTCAGAGTCTGGCATCGCAATGCCAGGAGCCATCTTCTGTCTAACCGAAGACGGCGGGCTGTTGGACGTTGATCGCTTCATTAGATTCCATAATGAAGGAGCCATGCTATAAGGCCTATGGGCTGCGTTGATGGCCGGCCACTAGGGGCAAAGATGGGGGTCCGGATATACGTGTGGAGGATGGAGGGGCATCGTTTGACTCTCTGGCAAACATCTGCCCATTTTGATGCCATTGAAGAGTGCCATGACGTCTGCAAGAGTGCGTCAACATGCCGCTGAACGCGAAAATGTTTGCTGCGATGGGGTGATGCGAGGCAAGGGGTAGTAGCAGAGACATGCACTCCGCCGTGGACGCGTTCAGTCCGGCGGGTGGGAGCGCGCGCCCGTTCACCTCGGCATCCCTGCATCATCTCCCCCACCTGCGCCCCAAAGGCCAGCAACACTACGCGCCTGCGAGGGAGATCAAACGCCGATGGCTCTAGAATTGCCGTTATCTATACCATACTGACGTTGTGCGATGCGTCTGATTTGCGGACATCGTTGATGGGTTCATGAGTGACTTCCTCGCCTCTCCATGGCTCCCTCCCAGCCGTTCAACTACGCCCAACATGACGACATCTGAGGGACCGCAGTGGCTGCAAACTGCTACTGAGAAGCGCAAGCTACGGGACGACGCTATTCAGAAATTTGTTGATGCACAAGCACCGCTGGCCGAGGTACTTCACGCTCGAACGCGCCGAAGACACACATTGACGACGCCAGCAACCCAATGGAACCGGCGGATCCCATAGTAATCAAGATGTGACAGCCATCGACGATGTCCCACTCATTCCAGAAGCCATAATGTCGCGTGCTGTGACGGCATCGCTGCTGCTCAATGCCTACATCAACCGGTGAGGTCCGCGGCTTGCTCTTCTATCGTACCATTCTCACGCCACATCTTCCAGCGCCATAGACGCCCACAAACGAGTACGACCCCACCACCGTATCCTAAGCTGTGAATTCGGAAATTTGCTGACATTTGTTCAAGACGAACTGGCACGTGCCCAACTCATGACTCTGCCTAGAGTACTTGCTGATCTACGTAGTCTTACCGAGATCCTTTTTGACGATGCGATCAGACAAGCCAAAGCGTTGGATGATCAGTTCGAAAAGACTGGTCAACTGGTGGGACCCCTCCATGGGGTACCCATGACCCTCAAGGACCAGTTCGATGTCAAAGGCTACGATAGTACCCTTGGGTATGTTGGCCGCGCCTTCAAACCTGCCCAGCAAGACTGCGTACTGGTGTCGCTTTTGAAGGAGATGGGCGCGATCATCGTCGTCAAGTCCAACCTGCCACAGAGCATTATGGTACGTCTTGCGATGTGCTTTCGCGTATGGTAGCATGACACTCATGTCTTTCAGTGGTGCGAAACCGACAATCCGTTGTGGGGCCTCACTACTCATCCGAAGAACGCCAACTTCACCCCTGGTGGCTCGACGGGTGGAGAAGCTACACTTCTATCGCTCCAAGGCACTGTGGTTGGCTGGGGTACTGACATTGGCGGCAGCGTGCGAATACCCTCACACATGAACGGGTTGTACGCACTGAAGCCTAGTAGCACTCGCCTGCCATACCAGGGCGTATCCGTATCAACTGATGGTCAAGAACACGTTCCCTCGGTCATTGGGCCGATGACGCGCAATATGGCTTCGCTTACTGCAGTCACAAGAGCAGTCATTGACGCAAAACCATGGGAACAAGACCCGAAGTGCTGCCCGGTACCATGGCGATCTGAAATTTTCGAAGATGCACGTATGCGACCGCTAGTAGTTGCTATCATGCGTGACGATGGAGTTGTGAGATGCCATCCGCCCATCGCCCGCGTTTTAGATGACGTCGCGGTAAAGCTCCAGAAGGCTGGACATGAGGTGGTGACGTGGACCTCCGGCACTCTTCATCAAGAATGTATCGATATCATGGTAAGTGCGCGGAACGAATTCTGTACTCTGAGCTGACCAGGATCAGGATCAGTATTACACAGCAGACGGCGGTGAAGACATCAGGCGAGACGTTGCCGCGGGTGGAGAGCCATTCATTCCGCATGTAGAAGCCCTCGTCAACAGGGGGAAGGCCATCTCCGTCTATGACTATTGGCAGCTGAACAAGAAGAAGCTTGAGCTACAGAAGCGCTATCTTGACCTTTGGAACTCGACAAAGTCTGAAAGCTCTGGCAAACCGATTGATGTCCTTCTCACACCTGTCATGCCTCATTCGGCGGTACCTCATCGGAAATGCAGATGGGTTGGATACACCAAAGTCTTCAACTTTGTCGATTATCCGGCAGTAGTCCTGCCAGCTGGTGAAGTCTCGCAAGAGCTTGACAGGGAGGCTGCGAAGAAGATGGGCGAGTATGAGCCTAGGAATACACTAGATGAGTGGAACTGGAGGACCTTCGATTTGGACTCGATGGATGGTATGCCGGTAGGTATTCAAATCATTGCCCGAAGATTACAGGAGGAGAAGGCTCTAGGTGCGGCCACGGTTATCGACAGCATATTGAATAAGCAGGCCTAGGATAGGTCTCTGCTATCAACAATGTATGTTGCTCGTGTAACTCGTCCAAAGTCATATTGCAACTGTCCGCCTCACGTGCTTTGCTCTGAGAAATTAGAAACTTGGAGATTGCGTTTTCCAGACTAGTTGCCGAGTTCGCAGGATGAACGCTAATGCACGTGTCCACGCGAGCACGCGTTGATAAGCTCCGCAGCAGCCGTCGGCAGGTACGATGAATCATAGCATCACCCCACCTTCCAATCGAGCAATCAGCTCCGCCAGACGGGTTACCCAGCATTGGCGGTTCGAAGGATAAGCGGGGTAGCTACACATGCTATCATGAGCTATGCGACCATTCATCGCTCTTGCTGCGCGTTTGCAGTAAATCTCACTGTCTTTCTTCCCGCCCGAATCATCGCGTCAACTTCTACTATACTGCAACATTGTCGCGTCTGGAATAACAAACACTATGGGAAAGAAGAAGGTTCTCGTGAGCTATGGGGTTGACATTGATGTAGGACTTCTTGTACGCAGCAACATTTGGCGCGATCACTGACTGGACGAACCTAGGCTGTCGCTGGCTGGCTTGGCTCGTATGGGGGTGAAGACTCCACGAGTGACATCAGTAGGGGTATGTTTGCTGTCTGGCACTGGAGGTCGGGCTCTTGCTTACATGATGCAGGTCTCTGGGCTGGAACAATAGGAACTCAGCGCCTGCTGAAGCTTTTCGATAAGTACGGAATCAAGGCAACATGGTTCATCGTGAGCTTCACCTGTTTTCCTGGAGCCACAATTGCTGAACTGATCGTTTCTAGCCTGGTCACTCTCTCGACACCTTCCCCGAAGACTGCGCTGCCGTACGAGATGCAGGACACGAGATCGGACTACACGGCTACTCGCACGAGAACCCTGCCGATATGACCTTTGAGCAACAACGCGATGTTCTTGACAAAACCTACAAGCAACTCACTGCTTTCTGCAATGGCAAACCTCCGCGAGGTTCCGTCGCACCCTGGTGGGAGACGTCCAAAGAGGGCACCGAGCTCTTGCTTAGCTACGGCATCGAATACGATCACTCCATGTCGCACGAAGACCATCGCTGCTATTGGCTACGCACGGGCGATGAGTGGACCAAGATCGACTACACCAAGAAGGCGACAGAATGGATGAAACCCCTCACGAAAGGGAAAGAAACGGGTCTGGTAGAGATACCGGGCAGTTGGTACATTGACGACCTACCGCCAATGATGTTCATGAAGAAGAGCGCGAACAGCCATGGATGGGTAAATCCGAGGGACGTGGAACAGATATGGATGGACCACTTCGATTACTTCTATCGGGAGTACGACGAGTTTGTCTTCCCAATGACAATTCACCCGGACGTCAGTGGAAGGCCACATGTTGTGCTCATGCATGAGAGGTACGTCGGATGAGAACGTGGAATACGAAGAAGTGCGCTAATAGAAGTGGCAGGATTATCGAGCATATCAACAAACACGAGGGCGTAGAATGGGTGACCATGGAACAGATGGCGGACGACTTCAAGAAGAATAACACGGTACCCGAGAATGCGATGATGCCGTCGCCACGCGGTGAAATCCTGAAGTTGCAGAAGGAAGGGAAGGCGTACTCTCTGCTTGATTACGATGGACCTATGCCGAAATAGCGACCATATAGTCCCATTGCTGTATAATTCAAGAGATGCGCAGAACTTCATTAGCCGTGACATCAGTCGTCTCCATGTCTGTGACCTCTTTCTCATCCCTTTCATATTTAATGGGCGGATTCAGTCATCGTGTATCTCGTGTGTGTTGCTCCATGTCTGTGAATGAGACCCGCGTGCCTATCTCGGAATGATCGGAATCGAATTCCGCAGGTTGGAGCTATGGCCACCGCGTTACTGCATACCCCTCACGCCAGCCACCTGTGCGTCTTCCAACCATCACGTTGCCCCCACTCTTGCACCAATGCACCAAACGACCATCCGTAGACGCGATTATACCTTCATACCCACCAATCGAGCGCTCCCCCATCTTGGACCTCCACTGCACCAGAGCTCGGATGCCGGACTAGCTCGATAAGCGCCATGGACTTGACCTCCTTGCATCGGTCCAGTGACTGTCAGCCAACTAGCAGTCACGCGTATCAATCGCGATAGGTGGGTGAGCATGGCTATGTGTGATGACGGTACGAGTAGTGAATGTATGCTGGAAGTGTTTACACTCTTCATGGACGATACGACTGTCACGCTGGCATCTACCTTGCTTTTTCCTTGGTTATCCAATACTGAACTTACTTTATTTCGTTGAGAGCTTCAAACTCGTGACATCATGGTTGGTGTTAAACCCCAGATTATCCAGAAGCAGCGTAGAGATGAGTCCAGCAAACTCGATGTAAGTTTCTTCTCACAGTCTTGGAGAGGTACAGCTAATGTCAATGGCTAGGTCATAATCGTCGGCGCTGGTCTAGGCGGTCTCGGTGCTGCCATATCAATCCTCCTCGCCGGTCACAATGTACACATCCTCGAGTGTACTTCAGAGATAGGCGAAATCGGCGCTGGCATACAATGTCTCCCCAACTCCTCGCGCGTCCTCATAGCCTGGGGTCTAGAAGACTACCTCTCGAAACACGCTACCTCGCCACGGCTGTGCAACATGATCGGTTGGAAAGGCAACAAGATAAGCGAGATGGACTTCCACGAATACGAGAAGGAATGCGGCACACCCTTCTGGGACTTCCACAGGGCGAACCTGCACATGGGACTTTTGGAAAGAGCGGTGGAGCTTGGCGCAAAGCTCACGACAAAGGCGCGTGTCGTAGATGTTGAGTACGAGGCCGATGTGGAGAACAACGCCACAAGAGCCATTGCCGTGTGTCAGGACGGGACAAGACACAAAGCCGATCTAGTTGTAGGCGCCGATGGCATCAACTCGAAATGCAGAGAGATACTACTCGGCCACGAGGACCCACCACAACTCACTGGCGACCTGGCTTACAGACTACTGCTCAATACCGCGGACATGTTGAAGGACCCTGAGCTCAGGGGATTTGTGGAAGACCCGCAGGTCAACTACTGGATAGGCCCAGATGCCCACGCCGTCAACTACGTCCTCCGCGGAGGCAAGCTCTTCAACATGGTGCTGTTGGTGCCCGATGATATGCCCGCCGGCGCGAACACACTTGCTGGCAATGTCGAAGAGATGCGTGCCCTATACAAAGACTGGGATCCACGGATACCCAAATTACTCGCACTCTGCCAGGAGGTGGCCAAGTGGCGGCTGATGATTCGGCCTGGTCTCGATCCCACTTGGTCTCATGAAACGGGTGCATACACCATCCTCGGCGACGCTGCACATGCCACTCTTCCCTATCTCGCATCGGGCGCTGGTATGTCTTTGGAGGATGGACATGTTCTCGGCCTATGCTTGGGTAAGATCAAGAGCAAGTCTACGGCAGAGAAGAAACGTGCATTAGCAGTTTATGAACGCTGTCGTCGCGAACGCACTGAACGAGTCGTCTCCCGTGGTAACCGTCAACAATATCTGTATCATGTCCACGATGGTCCTGAACAAGAAGAACGCGATAGTACGCTGCGCGCTTTTGGTGAGTTTAACGGTAAGGGAAGGATAGGCAAGGAGCAATATGAAGAAAAGGGACTAAAGGTTGGCGATGACCCTTTGGCGTGGAGGTGGGGTGGCGTGGGTAGCTGGCTCATCACCTATGTTTGTGAAGATGATGTTGAGAAGAAGTGGAAAGATTTCGAGAGAGAGGCGAGGGCTGAGGCAAGGAGTAATGGTGAAGTTAGGGCTGTGTTGTAAGTTACGGATGATTAATGGGGGTGTTGTTGGTATTGCCGACGTTCAATGAAGAGCTGTATGTAATGAAATCATCCAGCGTTTATCCGCTGGGTATCTAATTTGTGTCAATCGAGCTGTCTCTCCGAAATACCTGATGTCTGCCTAGAGAAACATACGTCTACGCCACAACCTGCAGGGTCTGTTCTGAGCAGGCATCAGCGCCACCACCATGCACAGCCGCAATGCTGCCACCATCGTCACTGATGCCAACGAGCCAAGCAGGCAGAACAACCACGTCAGTCACTTTGAACTCTAAACATCCAAGCACCCAAATGGTGCATGAAGTAACCTACGTGTCAGGCTCTCATTTCCCGCCTTCCAAAAGACGTGGCATACCAGCAGTGGTATATACGCATCAGGCTGACCACTCCGCCCCATCTACCATGACGCAGCAGGCGTCACGGGGTACTTTCAGTGTGTAGCGGAGGAATAGCAATGCTTCACGTTTTCCGACTTGCATCGTCCGCTTCACTGTTTGGGAGACGAGGGCAAGTTGTAACTGATGCCCAACATGGTCGAATCGTATATCAAGATAGCGCATCGTCTTGCTTTCTGGTTCACCTTAGCTCCCGTCTCGCATGCTGCTGTTGTGCCCTGTGGGGCACGTTTTCTTCGCGCAACGAAGTGCTGTCATACCGCCGCCACAACTTGTCGATTACATTTTACCTAGGTACTCAGCCACGGTTGGGGGAGCTGTCAGGCGTTGAGCTATCCGCCATCGCTCGGATTGGCTGTGTCAGACTTATGAGTATGCTTATTCGCTGACTGAGAGTACAACGATGGATCTAGTGACCTAGATGGCTCTAGTATGCCTTGCAGGACTTACAGCGCTACCTGCACTCGTGCGACGTGGACTCGAAGCAAAAGAGTAGGCAGACAATCCAGGGTCATCCCGGATAGCCCTCAGGGCGACATCAGATCGTTTTGCGACACGTTGGACTTGCTAACACATAGCGTGCGCCGAGACAAATCGACATTTCTTCTTGAGGCCGCCCTTTCGAGTCCGGAATGCCGGTATGAGCGCCCCCCGCCATGCGCAGCAGAGACGGTCATTCGTCCACGTAGGTTGGAGGACCGGTGAAGGAGAAGGCAACTAGTCGCCAGCTAATCGCGAAAGCGAGGCAACCACTGCCGTCAGCTTGGGTTGGGCGGCATCCGTTCCGACAGCTACTTTTCGAACACATCACTCGCCTCGAAATTTCTGTGGCAATGAGCTGTCCACGACACAAGGCAGGCATGATGAGCTTTCGTGTCCGAAGTGTCTCTTCGAAGACAGCGGCTCTTCGTGCCCTTCCAACAGTTAGTTCAGCGGTCCTGATGTGACTGGTTAAAATCGTTGGCTGCCCGGCTCCTCGGATTTGCATGTACTTACAATCGTACGCCTCATCTTTGGTAATCTGACCTTACTCCCTGAGCTTGAACCGATTGCTAGGTAGACCAGGCCTACGATGCGGCCATGATGCCTGTACGGACAAATCAACCGCACAGATGGTCTCCCGATTTTGGCGGTATGGTTAGTAAAGCGACGCAAACTTCAAAGTGTTAGTGACTGTGCTAAATCAGATGCAGCATAGTCCAGATGAGTACGATCGAAACGAGACGTTCGACGATTCAGGCTTCCATGACGAGCACACGCTCGGACAAGACTACCATCCCGACTCATTACCATCAGCGGAGTACGCTTTCAACCTCTGGCCGCCGTCTCTATATCAAGCTGCGCAGTATGCGTATCCGGCGTCTCTGGCGTTGAGGCAACTTCACAATATTCCCTCTGTAGATCGCGAGACACCGCCTGGAGAGTCATGGCAATCACCGAACACAGTCGTTCCCTCGCACCGAGAGGACAACCAGAGCCACGTGCAGTCATGGAAGAACGGTATGAGTCAACTACGCCGTGGGAGCGTATTTGAAACGAGTCCCCTAGATCGTGGGTCAAGTTCGACGTTAGACGACGCTGAGCCTCCAGCTTCCGGTAATGGCAAGAGACATGGATGTACCAAAACAAAAACAGCTAAGTAAGCAGCCTACCTTACCTCCTCGACGTTCTTTGTTGACTCGCCCACAGCAAGAAGACCAGTCTACGTTGTCTAGTATGCGTAGACAACCCCTCGTTTACTGGCCAGTATGCGCAGCGGAATCTGAATCGCCACATGGAGAAACATAACACGTGCGTTGGGCCCAGTAGTGGAAGGCATATTCGTTGCGGGCAACCAGGATGCACGTCAACTTTCGGTCGAGAAGATGCATTGCTCGTCCACCTCAGGCGAAGCCATCCAGAGCTGAACACGCCGCCTGCGAAGAAGCGCAAAAGAGACGAGTAGACCAAAAGATCCAACTAAAACCTTCTTCATTGGTCGTTCACAGGCGTTACAATCGGGGTCTTCATTTGGGTTCGCGGGTGGTGTTTCCATGCGCTCTTTAGACTTTTGGTCTTGCATCTCAGCGTCGAAGCACAAACATGAGTGCTCATAGATTCCGCAGGATCGTTGGTCATTCGTACTACCACTCTGTAATCCCACGTTGTTAGAATAAAGTTAGCGTAACGTTGCTTCTTGATTGTCGACTGATGGTACGACCAGCGCACTTGACACTACTTGATACGTCTGTCGTGTAAGAAGGTCTTCCCTTGGGCTGTGTATCATAGCTTGCGAAATTGCATGCCGATAACCTCGATAGCGGATATACGAACAGTCTCGCAGAATATCAATGAGTCTTCGAACGGGACATACCCATACTATCCGCGTGGCTTGACATTGTTCCGTGCTGGTACTGCGGAGATGCCTTGCCAGCCTTCGGCGACACTGCGATG